CCCTTTTATGCCCTCTGCATTTTTATGTAACATTGCTTATATATGAAAGTTCTCTTGTCAGTTTCTGTTCAAAGTTACAAAAGAGCACTTTGCAGATCCCACAGAAGAAAAGGGTGAGTTTTTATATGTTTACACAGTCTATCATCTGCATCATAATGGCAAAGTCACTCCCGTCTTCTGAATAACACCATTCAAGATCTGAAGAGTTGTCACACTTTGAGTTGCTTCGTGTCTTCTTAGCCATTTTTTATTTTTTTTTATTTTCATGTTGCATGTCTTGCTTTTCGGGCGGCACGGTGGTGCAGTGGGTAGCGCTGTCGCGTCACAGCAAGAATGGCCTGGGTCCGATTCCCGGCCAGGCAACCAGGGTCATTTCTGTGTGGAGTTTGCCTGTTCTCCCCGTGTCTGTGTGGGTTTCCTCCGGGTACTCCGGTTTCCTCCCACAGTCCAAAAACATGCAGTCAGTCCGATTGGACATGCTAAAATTGCCCCTAGGTGTGAGTGTCTGTCTGTCTGTCTGTCTGTCTGTCCTGTGATGGACTGGCGACCTGTCCAGGGTGTATCCTGCCTTCCGCCCAATGACAGCTGGGATAGGCTCCAGCACCCCACTGTGACCCAGAAGGATAAGTGGTTTAGATGATGGATGGATGGATGTCTTGCTTTTCTCTTTTTACCCAAAACCAACCGACCATGATTTTCTCTGAATCAGAAACTCAGACTGGTGGTAACCAAACCAAAGCCAATTTGTGCACCAGTTTCTGGAGCTGTGTATGGACACGCCCACCATGACTATCAAATCTCCAAATCACGCCCTCCGATTGGCTGTGGCTGGCTACCCAAAGCTACTCAAATGCAGAATGTGGACTACACATCACATGACATGCACCGAATAAAGACGGTGGATTCAAACTGATCTGTAAACAAACCGATCGAAACAAACGTGCCGAGTGCTTGGAAAGATGCATATTTTATATAAATGTACACTGTATGTTTACTTAGCAACAAACCTGGGCTTGTATTTTAGTGCTGTTTCTCTAGAATGTGTCTCTAGGTCACATTACTGAGGAGCAATGACACTGCAAAGATAGCACAGTATTTTATCTTGCTGGTGAGACGGCCAGTTCAAAAGGAATAACTGGAAAAAAAATTGGTATTGTATAAATCAGGTGGCTAAGTATTCCTTAGTAGAGTTTTATATTCAGTTAATTCTAGTTTGGTTTATATTCAGTTCTGTTTGGTTTATATTCAGTTCAGTTTGGTTTATATTCAGTTCAGTTTGGTTTATATTGAGTTCAGTTTGGTTTATATTCAGTTCAGTTTGGTTTATATTCAGTTCAGTTTGGTTTATATTGAGTTCAGTTTGGTTTATATTCAGTTCTGTTTGGTTTATTTTCAGTTCTGTTTGGTTTATTTTCAGTTCTGTTTGGTTTATAATCAGTTCGGTTTGGTTTAGTTTATATTCAGTTCAGTTTGGTTTATATTCAGTTCTGTTTGGTTTATATTCAGTTCTGTTTGGTTTATAATCAGTTCAGTTTGGTTTAGTTTATATTCAGTTCAGTTTGGTTTATATTCAGTTCTGTTTGGTTTATATTCAGTTCTGTTTGGTTTATAATCAGTTCAGTTTTGTTTATATTCAGTTCTGTTTGGTTTATATTCAGTTCTGTTTGGTTTATATTCAGTTCAGTTTTGTTTATATTCAGTTCAGTTTGGTTTATAATCACTTCTGTTTGGTTTATAATCAGTTCTGTTTGGTTTAGTTTATATTCAGTTCAGTTTTGTTTATATTCAGTTCTGTTTGGTTTATATTCAGTTCTGTTTGGTTTATAATCTCTTCAGTTTTGTTTATATTCAGTTCAGTTTGGTTTATATTTATGTTTGTTTGGTTTATATTCAGTTCAGTTTGGTTTATATTCAGTTCAGTTTTGTTTATATTCAGTTCAGTTTGGTTTATATTCAGTTCTGTTTGGTTTATATTCAGTTCAGTTTGGTTTATAATCAGTTCAGTTTGGTTTATATTCAGTTCAGTTTGGCTTATATTCAGTTCTGTTTGGTTTATATTCAATTCAGTTTGGTTTATAATCAGTTCAGTTTGGTTTATATTCAGTTCTGTTTGTTTATATTCAGTTCAGTTTGGTTTATATTCAGTTCGGTTTGGTTTATATTCAGTTCTGTTTGTTTATATTCAGTTCAGTTTGGTTAATGGTCAGTTCTGTTTGTTTATATTCAGTTCAGTTTGGTTAATGGTCAGTTCTGTTTTAGGAGAGTTTTCTGAGCAGATTTTTTCTCAGGTTACCACAAGGAAGCAAGAAAAAAATAACTAACTAAAATAACTTTTTTTCTACTGAACAAGTTTGATTTGATATGTCTGTAAAACTGACAAGATGGTCAGAAATACTAATTCCAGTCCATAAATTGCATCTACGACAACTAGAAGCTCTGTTTGTGTTGCAGGGCACCAGTATTCCCAATTCTTCAGTAGATACAGTGCACTGCCGTCCGTCAATCAGCAGCGCAGAAAAATACTGGCTCATATCGCTGGAGAAAACTGGTTTTAATGAGTCTGGAAAAGTGAATGAGTTGCCAAGGTGCAGAGCGACGGCTCTTGAAGAGAATGGAGTAGTGCATTTTCACTCTGAATACAGTGTTGCGTATGGCATGAATGATTTCTCCTTGACTTGTTTGACTGATTATTTTGGTTTAATGTTTTATTTTTTATCATTATGCTTTGATGTGTGCTTTGATTTATAGTGGAGATGGTTGATGATGGGTCTTGTTGGTACTTGTGACTCACCTCAATGACACTATAAGTGAGTGGTTCATGCAACTGGCAGCATTATTTATTAAGCCGGTGGTTAGAATATTATCAGCAAGGCTGAGTGCCAAAAACAATGCGTGCTTAATCTGTGAGTTTAATAATATTTTATGAATTATACGAGTGCTGCCAAACGCCCAGTTTGCCAATGGTTGCCAATTCACATTGCCATATTTTCTTCAATGGAAGCTTGCATTGTGGCAGTGAAGCTAATATAATACAGCTAAAGCACTCATTTTAAGTCTTTTTAAGAGGACCCATGTTGAAAAATGAAATGGTTAAAACAGACAGAACTTTGCTGAATACTGTGCTGATTGTGTTTTGGCACAAGCTGGCTGTGATGGCTGATAATGTGTGTGTGTGTTTATTTAATCATAAAATGAATGTATATTGTTTGGTTCATATTCAGTTCAGTTTAGTGTGTATTCAGTTCTTTTTGGTTAATAGTCAGTTCAGTCTGGTTTATATTCAGTTCAGTTTTGTTTGTAATGGTTCAGTTTGGTTTATATTCAGTTCAGTTTGGTTTATATATTCAGTTTAGTTTGGTTTATTTTCAGTTTAGGTCAGTTTATATTCAGTTCAGTTTGGTTTATTTTCAGTTTAGGTCAGTTTATATTCAGTTCAGTTTTGTTTATATTCAATTCAGTTTGGTTTATTTTCAGTTCAGTTTGGTTTATTTTCAGTTCAGTTTGGTTTATTTTCAGTTGAGTTTAGTTTATAATCAGTTCTGTTTGGTTTATATTCAATTCAGTTTGGTTTATATTCAGTTCAGTTTGGTTTATATTCAGTTCCGTTTGTTTATATTCAGTTCTGTTTGTTTATATTCAGTTCAGTTGAGTTTATATTCAGTTCAGTTTGTTTATATTCAGTTCAGTTGAGTTTATATTCAGCTCAGTTTGGTTTATATTCAGTTCTGTTTGGTTTATAATCAGTTCTGTTTGGTTTATAATCAGTTCAGTTTAGTTTATAATCAGTTCAGTTTGGTTTATATTCACTTCAGTTTGGTTTATAATCAGTTCAGTTTGGTTTATTTTCAGTTCAGTTTGGTTTATATTCAGTTCAGTTTGGTTTATTTTCAGTTCAGTTTGGTTTATAATCAGTTCTGTTTGGTTTATAATCAGTTCAGTTTAGTTTATAATCAGTTCAGTTTGGTTTATATTCAGTTCAGTTTGGTTTATAATCAGTTCAGTTTGGTTTATTTTCAGTTCAGTTTGGTTTATATTCAGTTCAGTTTGGTTTATTTTCAGTTCAGTTTGGTTTATATTCAGTTCAGTTTGGTTTATTTTCAGTTCAGTTTGGTTTATAATCAGTTCAGTTTCGTTTATTTTCAGTTCAGTTTGGTTTATATTCAATTCAGTTTGTTTATATTCAGTTCAGTTTGGTTTATATTCAATTCAGTTTGGTTTATAATCAGTTCAGTTTGGTTTATATTCAGTTCCGTTTGTTTATATTCAGTTCTGTTTGTTTATATTCAATTCAGTTTGGTTTATATTCAGTTCAGTTTGGTTTATATTCAATTCAGTTTGGTTTATAATCAGTTCAGTTTGGTTTATATTCAGTTCCGTTTGTTTATTTTCAGTTCTGTTTGTTTATATTCAATTCAGTTTGGTTTATATTCAGTTCAGTTTAGTTTATATTCAATTCAGTTTGGTTCATATTCAGTTCTGTTCGGTTTATAAGAAGGAACAGGGAAGAACCTCACCATCATTTACTTCCAAATATTACTATGCAAATCTAGACTAAAACTATATCGCAATAATAAATTATCATGTTTAATAATGTTTTTATGCTATGTTATATTTTATAAAATATTTGTTGGTATATATGTATGATGTATAATGAATGAACGTACAATGAACTACAAATGAATTTCTTTTTATTTTTAAGTTCTGAAGAAATCTTAATCTACTAAGTCTTGGTCTTGGCTCGGATTTGATGTGTCTAGATCTCGGTCTCAACATGGACCTGGACAAGTGTTTAATGAAAAGAGCTCATTCTCTTATTTTGTGACTCTGAGAAACGCCGTTATGAACATCAACCTTGATTATCTTTACAAGCTTTACAGTACAGTTAATGGACCTAAATGACCCTCTTTACTGACATCTATCAACTGACAGTAATGTATTTGCAGCCATTTCTGAATTTTCTTTAGTTTACAAGCTATTTTTCCTTTTCGTTTTCTTTCCAGACCATCTCCGTATCCGTGTCTGTGCTGACCCTAAGCTGCATTGCCCAGGACCGCTGGTACGCTATCTGCCACCCTCTCAAGTTCAAGAGCACGGCCAAAAGGGCCCGCAAGAGCATCGTGCTGATCTGGCTGGTGTCCTGTGTGATCATGATCCCTCAAGCCATCGTCATGGAGTGCAGCAGTCTGCTGCCCGAGCTGCTGCCCGAACTGACCAACAAGACCAGCCTGTTCACCGTGTGTGACGAACACTGGGGAGGTGAGGAAGCAGCCGCACTGCGTCACTCATTCTAATGCAGAATGGATTTTGACAAATGGGCACAACTGTGTTCCCCTCAAACACCCAAAAAACAGGCTTCTCTTCACTGAAGTTACAGTGCAATATTAGGGAGCATTCATCACTGTGAAGAAAAAACACGTTCATCATCACTGTGGAGATATTACCCACTCTCTGAAAAATATAAAACACTCTCAAGATGCAGTTTTATTCTCACTCTGAAAATGTTATTAATTTAGTAATTTTATATAGTACTTTCTGTGTCAGGCTACAAAGTGCTTCACAAAGTGAAAAAATAATAAAACAATATAAACACAAAAAACGTAAAACCAAAGACAGTACAGCTTCATCCACAAACAACACAAACTGAGAACATTAGCTGTGTCCAACCTCAAAGGCTAAGACATATAGATATGCCTCATATCTCCAAACCTTATATCTCCAAAATGATCATTTTACAGTAGAACGAAAAAACCTACTTTACTTTTACTGTAAGTCAATGGAACCAGACTTTTTTTCAAGTAATTTTGGGCTGTTTCTTTTGGTCCATTCATCATGAAATTTACACACAATGTCATGAGAAACAGGTGTTTTTATGTCAAAAACTGAAACATCCAAAATGGAGATACGAGATTTTGTTCTGACAGCAGCGATATAATGAAAAAGCATTCCTTCTTCGCTTTGTCCTAGGGACACCAATAGCCCTTCACTAGAGGACCTCAGTGTTCTAGCATTTGAACATGGCGCTAATGGAGTAGTAACTGGCAGCCAATGCAGAGATGCCAATAGTGTGTAATATGCTCCATTCTTTTAGTCCCAGCAAGAACCTGAGCTGCTGCATTTGGGACAAGTTGCAACTGTGTCATAGCTCCTTGACTGACGTGTAAATAAAGCAGTACAGTAATCAAGATGTGACAATATAAAAGCATGAATAATTTTCTCTTTATCCTGAAAGCATTTTTCTGATTTTAGCAATATTTCTAAATTGAAAGTAATGAATCTGTAACAGCTTCATTATATGCACTGAGAAATTTATTTCTGAAGAAAGAGAACTGAGAACTGAGAACTAGTACCTCTGTTTTTCCCTCTTAACTTAAGGCAATTATCGGCCATCCAATCCTTAAAAACTTAAATACATTCATTAAGACTTTCTAATCTACTGAAATCACAGAGAGATAAAGCTGTGTATCATCATTTTCCCAAAGGGAGCATTAATAAAGAAAACAAAATTGGACCAAAGATCGACCCTTTTGGGACCCCACAAGAAAGCTCAGCACATGACAACAACTTATCTCCAATAAATACCCTACATTTTCTATTGGATAAATATGAAACAAACTAGTCTACAGCAGTCCCTGATATTGCAACCCACTGATGCAGACCCTTTATCAAAATATTATAAGCAACAGTGTCAAAAACTGCACTGATATCTAATAATACCAAAATAGACACCTGTCTTGCATCAGCATTCATTAAGATGTGATTTAAAATTCTTACAAAGGCTGTCTCTGTGCTGTTTCTGCTTAAAACCTGAAACTTAAAAAATATGATTTTATTCTAGCAGACCCAACAGCTGTTTTGCAACCACTTTATCAAGAATTTTTGAGACAAAAGGCAACTTTGAAATTGGTCTGTAATATACACAATCCGTAGAATTGAGGCCAAGTTTTTTGAGAATAGGCTGCACCATCGCCATTTAAAACATTCTGGGACACAACCTGAACTAAATGATAAATTCATAATTAATTGATGGCAAATGCCCACAGAATAAAAAAGACCTCTTCAAAAATGTAGCTGGGATAGTTTCCACCAGAAAGATCGATTTAATATTTCAGCTCCACTACTCTGAGGAACCACTTCAATTTTTACAGATACATCAATCATAGAACTGGGTGTGCTCTGGGGAGTCAATCCTAGAAAACAAAAACCTAGGGTTGTGTATATTCACAGTTATTAAATCATTAAAATCTTTGCATCCCTAACTCTATTATTAAAAAGAAACCACAAATCCTTCAGGTATAAACGATGAACTTGAAGCTGAGACTTTTCCATTCTCACTCTACCCTCCTACAAATCCTTTTCAACTGCAAAATATCATCATTTATCCATGATGTTGACAGGGCCAACCTGTCTAAAACACTTCTTAATAATTTGTGCACTAGCAAGGTGATTAACATCAGTACAGAGAAACAACTGCTCACTAAACCCTGTAAACACATCTGAAAATTGTGACTTTGCTTCTTAGTTAAGAAAGCATGACTGTACACAGTGTTTGGAACCAGCCTTAATCATAAACAGGGGCACATTAAAAGCAGTACAATTATGATCTGATACAAATAAATCCACAATAGAGACAGAATGGGAAGACAAACCGAAAGTAAACTCAAGATCCAATGTATGACCCTGATGATGAGTCAGGCCAACCACAGGCTGAACTAAATTTAAAGATGCCATGATGTTCAAGAATTCTGTAGCAGCCCCATCAGATACATTATACATATGAATATTAAAATCACAAAGCAACACTTTGTCATAGTCTAAAACTAGAAAGAAAGTCTGATAATTCTGACAAAAAACAGCCTTGAGTCGTGGCAGGGGGGGATACTGGATTTTTGCCAAGCACTTAAAAAAAACAGCATTTCAAAACTCCTACAGAAACAGTTTGACATTTCTAGCAGTCTTTAAAAATAACAGCCACACCTTCACCCCATCCAGATGTCCTCAGAGAACTGAAGCATGAATCATTCGGGGGACATAGTTCATTTAGATGCCATTTCTCACCAGTCTCGAGCCGAGTCTCTACTAGAAACAAAAAAACGATGCCATTGGAAGAGACAGAGTCTGGCATAACAAACGCCTTGTTTGACAGGGATCTAACATTGATAAGTGCTGGATTAGGATCTGAGAAATTTCTCATATCCAAAAGCGAAAGGCAGAGGATTTCATATAGATCATTTAGGTTCACCCCACCAAACCTAACTACGGGTTTCCTAGTGAACATACAAGGAGGTAGTGCTGGAGAAGCCGGCTGCAGCCAAACGTAGTGCTTCTCCAATGAACGTCGCAAGAGAAAGTATCCAAGGCGCTTGGATAAACCATCTTATTTGATTCGTATAACAGACCTGAACAGTGATCACACTAAACACGCAGCCGGAGCAGAAGGCCACCTCTTTTCCCTCATTTCCTCTGCGGCTGTTTCTGTCGACTCAAATGTTGTTTACAGCATTGAGAGCGACAAACCTCAGACGCAGTTGGTAGCAGCAATGGAGGTGGGAGAAAGGGACCTTGTGTACCTCTCTCTCCGACGAAACCCTCCAACACTCAGGCACAAAGGCTCAACAACATCCCACGATCACAGGTAGTGGACACAGCATGTACTTAACTAAGCAGAGACACTAACAATAATAAAAAGATGAAAACAGGTAGAAGCACACCTGAGACGTCGCCATACACCTGCGCCATCCTGGACAAAGGTTTTTCCTCATGTGCTCCCCGTGATCAGTCCCAGAGATTAGACATTTTATAGAGTTCTAGGCCCAATTTCTCATGCAGTTTAAGCCTGAACTCTAAAAAATTAAGGTTCTTAAATGGTTCTTGAGTCGGATATGTGATTCTGGGAAAAATCCTTAACCGGTTAAAAGGGCTGCCCAAAGTGAGGCCAGCAGGGCAATATTTTAGTTTTGATTTAAATACTCTTTATTTGCTGAATATAATATATAGGGAAAAAAACAAAGCCTAAAATGTGTCTTGTTCAATATTTTTTTTTCCAACATGTTAAACTCAGCAAATAAATAGAAACTGTGCACTAAAATTAGCAGAAACGCTGTATTTAAGTGTTCTCTGTGGAGGATGTGTTAACTTATTTTCACTTAGAACATCAACAGAACATGCAAGTTGACTAGTGGTGTTCAAACTTTTGCATAGGTATAACTTCAGTTTCTTATTTTGTAAGTATTTTCGAAGTATTTCATTAACAAAATGTATAATACTACTACTAATAATAATCATCCATCCATCCATCCTCTAAACTGCTCATCCTTCTGGGTCGCAGTGAGGTGCTGGAGCCTATCCCAGCTGTCATTGGGCAGAAGGCAGGATACACCCTGGATAGGTTGCCAGGCCATCGCAGGGCAGACAGACAGACATACACAGTCACTCACAGCTATGGGCAATTCAGCATGTCCAGTCAGCCTGACTGCATGTTTTTGGACTGTGGGAGGAAACCGGAGTACCCGGAGGAAACCCACACAGACACGGGGAGAACAGGCAAACTCCACACAGAGATTACTCTGGTCAGCCGGCCGGGAACCGAACCCAGGCCATTCTTGCTGTGAGGCAACAGCGCTACCCACTGCGCCACCGTGCTGCCGTCGTAGTAGTAGTAGTAGTAGTAGTAGTAGTAGTAGTAGTAGTAGTAGTAGTAGTAGTAGTAGTAGTAGTAGTAGTAGTAGTAGTAGTAGTAGTAGTAGTAGTAGTAAAACAACTCTATTGGAAACCCATATCTTTTTGTATAATTTTTATATACTTTATATTTTTTATATACTTTATATTTTTGTACTTGTAGCCAAAACTAAAAGTCTGGCCACTGGAACTTTTACATTATGTTCAAAAGCATGGTTTTAAATGGTTTACCCCTCTTGGATGGGTTATTGTACTTGTATTGACGAATATTTAAATTAAATTATAGCCCAAAGTTCACATTTTTCTACATCACAAATTACCTTGAACCTCTTAGGGTCCAATATGCTAAGGAGAGGGTTATGACGTGCCGAGGCGTCTACCTTAATGTTTGAGATGTTTTAAATGTGCAGTTAGCTAAAATAGATAAATGTTGTTGGTATTTAAAATTATGCCATTGTTAAAATTATGTTCTACATCTATCTAATAACATACTACAACATATTATGTATGTACATAAATATGGTATGTAGCAGGTGGTAGCCGTACCCGTAGCCATAGCAGCTAGCTATAGCTTAGCATGC